ACTCAGGGACCACCACCATGATCCCCTCACCACCACTCTGGTGGTGAGGGGACTCTATGGCTGTACCGTTATCGAGGTATGTTGTGTGTATATCATATGTTGTGCGGATGTACGTGTGCATGTGTATGATGTCCATGTTTGCGGCTGTATGTGGACGTGTGCCTCATGTAGATGACGTGCATGCGTTGCATGCGCCTGCTAATGCGTGTGCGAGTGGGGAGAAGGTTGAGGGGTGTGAGACGCGGGTGCGACGCGGGTGGGAAGAAAACCAGAGCCCCACATAAAACATGCGCAAATACAATTCCAAGTCGGGCCGCCGCCGCAGGGGCCTTCGCACACCCAACCTCAAACAAAAATGACGGAACATGGGGGAATTACCGAGACGTGTGACCGGGCCACGGGCTGGACCTGCGTAGGACGCCACTCCGCTGGACCTCCCAGGATCGCAGGAAAGAGGGGACAGGCATGTCCGGCGGCACCCAGGCTTGCTAGGTCTCTTGTTGGCTGTGTACGACGCCACTCCGCAGGACCACCGAGGGGCTGGAACATGTGGACAATCGGACGCCAGTCCGCTGGACCCCAAAAGGGCTCAAGACAGGGATCACCGTTGTGCGTTCGGCAGAACCTTGCTGCACCAGCTATCATTCGGTCTAGGACGCTAGTCTGCCGACCCCCCAGGGGTTCCAGAAAGTGGGGCCATTGTGCGTTTGGCAACGCCTCGGCGGGAGAGGTGACATGTGGTCTGCCTGCGGCGCCACTCCGCAGCTGGACACTCCCGAAACGCATTCGAATATGGACAGTCGTGCGTTTGGCAACACCCACGGGGGGCGATGTCAACGTTGGTCAGCGTGGCACGCCACCCCGCTGGACCCCTCAGGCGCTTAGGAAAGCCGGGACAATCGTGCGCTTGGCAGCGCCCTTGGTGGCAAGGTCTCATTGGGTCTACGTAGGAATCAGATCGAGGGACGCTGGAAAGTGGCCAGCGACACTTGAACTGCTGGCGACACACGTGGGGGTGGGGGAAGGGGGGCGAAACTGAAAAGGGACGCAGGAACGTCGCGGCGATTGCACAGTCAGCATCGCCCAGGGGTTGCAAAGTATAGTGTGGCAGGCTTGAGACGCACCGCCGCTGACCTCCCTGGAGCATGAGACAATTGCGACACAAGTGCGGTTGGCACCCAGGGAAAGGGAGGCCTAATTTGATCTGGTGCGGACGCCGCCCTTTTAGACTTCCCAGGGACGCAAGGAGGCTGCGAAACCGATGTGCAAGGTTGGCAGCACTCAGGGAAGGCCAGGTCTAAATTTGTCTGTGGGGTGCTGTGCTCCACAAGACTTCACAGGGGCGCAGGACAATTGCGTCAGTTGCGCTGCTGGCACCACTCCCAGGGGGTGGGTAGCTCAACCTGCATGCGGCAATCTCCCCCTGGACCTTCCAGTGCTGCAGGAAGCTGGCGACAGTCGCACTGTCGGCAACACCGCGGGGGGGGGGGCGGGCATTTAATCGGAGAAGGCCTTCACTTCGCTGGACCCTGCCCTGCCCCCCCTCCCCGAGCCAAGGAGAGTGGCGACTATTGCGCCTTGGACAGCACTAGTGGCAAACAAAGGAGGCTGCACATGCGAACAAGGAGGTAAGGATGAGAAGTGGAGCGGGCGAGAGCTGACGGAAAAGGAAAGGAGACACGGGAGAGGAGGAGAAGAGGAACAACACACGCTCGACTCCCAAAGAGGACTAACCCACAGGATGGTTGGCAATAGAACTGGGAGGTAGCAACATGCGGGAAACGTTTGACCTGTACGCTGACCATATTCTTGTTTTGACTGCAGCGCAGATCGCAAGAAGTACCAAGCCGATCACGCGCTGCTGCTTTCCTTTCTGGCTGGAAGAATACCCACATTTGCTGAGAGAACTCCAGCTGCACCGAAGAACTGCTCCTAACACTACAGCATCACCGGGTTAACCTTCAAGTGAGGACGCTTGTCGAGAGAGGGAGGCACGCCTCAACGGGCAGCCACCAACGATCGACCACAATATGTGCCTAATTAACCCTTGCCTTTGCCTTTCATCATGGCCCCCTTGAACTTCGTCATGACCGCCATCAATACCTCTGCTTTCTTCGCGTCGGGCAACGACTCCAACAAGCGGACCACCTCTACATGCGCGCGCTTGGCCAATCGATCGTTGTCTGGCGCCTCGACTTCCTCATCATCCACCTCTTCTGTTGCGTCTGCACTGCTGGTCAGCTGGCGCGAGATCATGGTCGCATACCGGCCGTCCTTGATTTGCATCAACTCGTCGTGGGTGCCCTGCTCCACCACAAGGCCCTTACTGGAACTCGCAAATATCGCCTGGACCTGAACTCTCCTCCTCCTCCTCCTCCTCCTCCTCCTCCTCTTCACCCTTGTCCTCTTCATCCTCGTCCTCCTCGACTCGCCCCATGTTTCCTTAGAGGAACGAGAAAACGGGAAAGGGCAACCAAAAAGAGAACGCCTCAGTAATCAACAGCGCCCTTATTCCTGAGCATTCAATCGTCTCCTCGCTCCTTTTGGAGGTAGGCATCGAATAGAAAGGAAAAAGGGGCCACAGTAACAAGCACGTTGTACTCCTTCACCTCACCGCCTCCTTCCTCCGCCTTCTCATCCCTCCTCTCTCCTATCCCTCTCCGTCCTCCCTCCTCCCTCCTCCCTCTTCCTCCTCCTCCTCCTCCTCCTCTTCCTCCTCCTCCTTCCGCCACCATTATGTTCCTGCTCCTGCTCCTGCTGCTCCTGCTCCTGCTGGTCCTCCTCCTGCTCCTCCTCCTGCTGCTCCTCTTTTTTCTTCTCATCATCCGCTTCCTCCTCCTTGCTCCTGCTCCTCCTTCTTCTCCTCCTCCTTCTCCTCCGCCTTCTCGTCCTCCTCCTCCTCTTTTTTCTCTGCCTCCCCTGTCCTCTCTCCCTCCCTCCTCACTTTCACCCTGCTCCTCTTGCTACTCCTCCTCCTTCTCCTCCTCCTCCTGCTTCTCCTCCTCCTCCTCCCCCTTCTCCCAAGCCTTCTGCTCCTCCTTCTCCTCCTCCTCCTCCCCTTTCTCCTCCCCCGCCTCATTCCTCCTCCTCTTCCCCACTCGTCATGCACCTCAGCAATATGAGCAGGAGAAGACGAAGGAAAGGAACGGGAAGAGGGAGAAAAGTGGAAAGGTGAGGAGGGAGGGAGGGAAGAGCAAAAAGGACGGGTGGAAGAGCGATGGGATGAAGGATGGGGGAGGAGGATAAATAGGGGTGGGGTGGGGGCGGGAATGCGAGGTGACAGATCCACTGAAACGCGGTCGAACTTCAAGATTCAGGCCACAACGAGGCCCACAAGGCCAAACCCGGAGAGCTGGCACGAGCAATGGCCAGGGCAGGGGAGAGGGAGGCGGGGGAGGGGAATGCTCGGCTCATCCCCGCTGCGATGCGAGATACTGTTTGCGGCCAGCTGCATGTTCATGCAGGTCTCGTTTTACAGACACACATGTACATCGATGCTACTTGGCTTCCCGACATGACGGTTTTGAATGGATCGCGGGGTCAAGGGGGCACAGCAGCAGCAGCAGCACAATGGAAGGCCCAAGACATTAAGAACAACTCCCCGCCCTCTCATTGAACTACTGATTCATCTACGACCCCCTGCTCATCAACGTCCTCCATTTCCGCACTCCCGCACTCCTCGTCCACATGCCGCATATGTCGTCATGCCTTGTTCTCCTTCTCCATCTCCCCGTCACTCCTCTTACACGCCATGCCATCACCATTGCGTTCCACTCCTCATTCTCCGACGCATCCCTGGGAGGCCAGGTGGCACTGGTGCGGCTGCTGGAGGGGGGAGGGAGCAACATCTGATAAAGAACACGATGCTCCGATGCCTGCCGCGGACTGGCGGGGCCTCGCTGGAGAGCCAAGTGGCACTGGGGAAGCTGCTGGAAGGGGGGGGGGGCACGAAACCTGAGACATGGCACGGTCTCCCGACGCCTGCCGCGGTCTTGCGGGGCGTCTCTTGAGGGCCAGGTGGCACTACTGGCGAGACACCTGATCCATAACACTGCTCGCGGTCTGGCGGGGCGGGGCCCCCCTGAGGGCCAGGTGGCACTGGAGAAGCTGGTGGAGGGCCGAGGGCTCGGCCCCTGATGAATAATTCGGTGTCCCGGTGCCTGCCGCGATCTGGCGGGCTCCCCGTGCGGGCCAGGTGGCTCTGGGGAGGCTGGTGGTTCGAACGATCGCCGCCGAACCCTTGCTGGATGCGTTTCGGGCATTGCGGGGCCAGCGTGGCGCCGTAACGCCTGGAATGTGTGATAGGGCGAGCGTGGAGCACTTGCTGTGTAGTCATGAAGTGCTCACACCACTATACTGCTACAATGCATGATGCTATGTTCGGCTCTGCCCTAGTCTGCGATATTTCGCTATCGTGTGGTACGTTCTCGACGGCCTGGCATGGCGTCGTGGCGCCTGTCACGTTTGATACGTCGCAACATGTGGTATGCTATGATCGAGCCCCTTCTGGGCATTGGTTATGCCGTGTGGTTTGGTATGCGTTGCTATGTCATGGTGTCGCTTCGTTCCCCATGCTCTCTTGAATTCGATTATGTTACGGCCTTACGTCGGCGCGCGTGTTGCAATCGATGGTGCGCCGTCGTTCGGTCGTTGCTGCAGTCTTGGGAGCTCGATGCTGTCTTGTTCACCTCTGCTCTGATCAACTCTACGCTAGTATGGTCTGTTATGTTACCTTGTCGACGGGCTGGCGTGGCGTCGTGACGCCTGTCACGTGCGATGCGTCACAGGGTACGGCATGCTCTCTTTGAGTATCTGGTACACCTATATTCTACGTGCAAGTAATTGGTGTTAATGCCACACCGGTTATCTCAATATAGGATGTCATGCTTTGTTGCGCTCCATTACTTCCTGCTCCGCTGTGTCCTGCTGTCGAACAACCATTATATTCGACGTTGTTAAACACTTGACCGTTGCGCTCTGGTCTGGTACGTTATATTCTCTTGCGCCCTATCACATTACGTGAAATTCTGTACCCATTTGCTACGGTCGATTCTCCGTTACGCGGCTGTACACAGCTGTATTATGCTGTAGCATGTTACGTTCTTAATTAGCTATCTTGCTCAGTTAGGTTATGATCTGTTCTGGTATGTGACGGCCGCCCCGCGGGATCCCCAGTGGTCCTAGGTATGGCGGCCGCGGCATGCAGGGATGGCGGGTCGGGAGGCCTGCTCTTAAAATCTAACAGACCCAACCTGTCGGGTGGGGAAAACGCGGTATACCGATGCCTGCCGCGCTGTCTGCCGCAGTCTGGCGGGGCCCCCCTGAAGGGCAGAATGGTATTGGTGAGGCGGGTGGAAAGGAGGAAGGCACGACACCTGATACATCAACCGACGTGGAAATCCCCATAGGTGCATGTCAATTCCTGGCGCTTCCGCCCGTGAGAGTCTGAATGAAAGACTCTCCGCCAGTGGCGAATTATAGCTCCCTGGCGGTTGCCCCCAAGTCCCGGGACTCCGAAAGGAGATGGGCTGGGGGCGCCTAAACCAGCGTTTTCCCTGAGAGGTCCCAGGATCTCGGTGTGAGCTGGCGAGTGTGACACCCCCTGGTGGCTCCCCCTTGGGGCACACACACACACACATGCTATGCCTCCTTCGTCGCGGTGATCATGGGGCTCTGAACGGAGAGAAGCCGAGAGCGTGAATACCAGCGAACCGCTCGAGGCATCCCAGCAACCTACGTGCGAGAAGCACCTGTAACACCCCTTGGCGGCTCCCCCATCGAAGCGCCCAAGAACGACGCCTGCTATGTCGACATGAACACGAGGCTCTCGCAAATGAGGAGTCGCGAACGCCAAACGAGCGAACCGCTCCAGAACTTCCCACAATCTCGGCGCGAATGGGCAAGTGTCCCCTCTCCTTGGCGGCTCCTCCTTGAGGTGCCAAAGTGCTATGCCTGCTATGTCGACGTGAACATGAGACTATCACAAATGAAGGGGTCGGGGGCGCCAAACGAGAGACCGCTCGAGACTTCCCACAATCTCGGCGCGAATGGGCAAGTGCTCCCCCTCCTTGGCAGCTCCCCCTTGGGGTGCCCAAGTGCTATGCCTGCTTTGTCGACGTGAACATGACAGTCTCAAAAATGAAGGGGGCGGGGGCGCAAAACTAGCGAACCGCTCAAGACCCCCCCCCCCACAATACACACAATCTGAGCGCGAACGGGCAAGTCTCCCCTCCCTGGCCGCTCACCCTCGGGTGCCCTAGTACCACGACCCCTATGTCGTTGTGATCATGGGGCTCTCAAGAAGAGGGGTCCGATCCACCAGACGAGCAAGCCTCTGAGACATCCACACAATCTGGGCATGAACGAGCAAGTGCCCCCCTGCCTGGCGGCTCCTCCTCGAGGTGCCCAAGAGCAACGACTGCTCTGTCGCGGTGGTCATGGGGCTTTCAAAAAAAGAATTGATCCAAAAAGCGAGCAGACCGCCGGAGACATCCCCACAATCTGGAAGCGAACAGGCAAATGTCCTACCCCAGGTGGCGGAACATTCCGCAGTCCGGAAGCGAACGGGCCCTACCTTCTGGCGGCTACCCCTGGGGGTGCTCAAACGTCACGCCTCCGATATCGCGATGGGCATGGGGCTCTGAACAAAAGTAAATGTGATTAACCATACAAACAAACCATCCGAGACATCCGAACCTGGGCACGAACGGGCACATGTTCTACCCCTGGCGTCTCCTCCTTGGGTGCTCAAACACCACGCCTGCTACATTACGACAAGCATGGGGCTCCGACGAAAGTAAAAGCCTGATCAACCAACGAGGCAAATCGCCCCAGACATATACCCGCAGTCTGGGCGAATACAGGAAAGTGTTATACTCCTGACGGCTCCTCCTGAGGGTGCTCAATTGCCACGCCTCCGACAACGTGATGGGCATGGGGCTCTGCACAAAAAGAAATTGCATCAACCAAACAAGGAGACCACCTGAGACATTTCAACTTGGGCACGAACGGGCAAGTGTTCTACTCCTGGCGGCTCCTCCTTAGGGTGTTCAAACGCCACGCCTGGTACATCGCGATAAGCATGAGGCTCTGAAAAGAAAGAAGCCTGATCAACCAAACAACAGGCAAACCACCTGAGGCATACCCACAATCTGGGCGCGAAGCGAACATGTCCTGCCTCTGGCGGCTCCTCGTTGGGTACTCAAACGACACGCCTCCGACATCGCGATGGGCATGTCGTGTCTGAGTGAGAATGAGTTTGGCCATCAGGGAATATGAGTATGAGTGAGTCTGGGTATGCTCATGGCTGAATGCCAATGGATAGAAACTTGAATACACCCGGGTATTAATGATTCTGGATGCCAGTGATCTGAATGTGATGAGTCGGAGTGCGAGTTCATCTGTGCGCGAGTGAGTCAGAGCATGAGTGTGCTGAGTGTGGAGAGAAAGAGAGGGACAGATGGAGAGAGAGAGAGAGAGGAATCGGGAGTGACGAAGTGGAGGCTTCCGAATAATAACAAGTAGAAGATGCGAATGGTGATGCTGATGATAATGTTACTAGCACTTATGGTTGAAATGAGGATGCTGATGCTGATGGGGAGGAGGAGGAGGAGGAGGAAGAGGAGGAGAAGGAGGAGGAATGAGACGGATAATGACTGGTCGAGCTTGCACGAGACTGGAAGGGGGGCTTGCAGGACGAGGAGGACGAGGGAACCAAGGATACCATATCCTGGAACAAAGAAATTGCACCACTCAGGATGTGGGGCTGCTTCGCCCCAACACGCACCAGGAAAGGATGCCCCAGGACGCTCCAGGAAGCCATAGGAGGCACGAGGAAGCTTCAGAAAGCTTCGAGAAGCCGTAGGACGCCCGAATTAAGCTCCCCAAGATGCAAGAGTCCCAGGAAGCCAGGAGACTATGGAATATCCAGGGTGCACCGCAGCTCCAGGAGGGCGACGGAGGCCCCAGGACGTCCCAGGAGGCCCTGCAGGAAGCCCACGGCAAGCCCGAGGAGGCTCCAGGAGGCATCGAGAGGCCCTAGGAGGCAGAATGAGGCCCCCAGGAGGGGACAAGACGACCCAAGAGGCCCTCAAGACTGCCCCAAGAGGGCCCTCAGAAGACCCCACAGACATCCAACACGGCCCTGAAGCGCCCGAACAGGGTTCCGAGACGGTTCGGAGGGGCCCTCAAGACAGCCTCCGAAGGCCAAGAGAACCTTGCTGATGCCCAGAGGCCCCCAGGAGGCCCCCAAGAGGCCCCAGGAGGCCGCCAAGAGGCGTTCAGGAAGTCCCCCAGGAGCTCCCCCAGGAGCTCAAAAGAGGGCCCCACAGACACCCAAAAGGCCTCCTCTTGATCCTCCTCTTCCTCCTCCTCCCTCTCCTCCTTCCCCGAATGCCCCCCCCGAAGGGTTTCCACAACGGCTGGGACAACACCTAGTACAGCAGCTTGGCCAACTGTTGGCCGAACGTTTGGCCACATCGGTATTTCTGCATATAGGCAGGGGACGGCGGTCGGTGATTTGCCGTCCCCGTCTTCGGTGTGTATGCGTACAGGCAAGTTGGCACTCACAAATATGTATGTATGCATGTATGCACACATACATCTATATATGTATGGATGCATGTACGCATGCATACATACACGTACACGATGGTTACCTGTGTATGGTCGTATGCATGTGTATAAGTATGTATGTATGTGTGTATGTATGCATGTGTGCATGTTTGCATGCATGTATGTATATATGCATGTATGTATGCATGCTTGCAGACATTCATGCGTGCATGTATACACACATGTAGGCATGTATGTATGCATGCATGTATGCATGCATGTTTGTATGCACGTATGCGTGTTTGGCTGTATGCGTGTATGGATGTATGCATGTCTATATACATGTATGTATGTATGTATGCATGTATGTATGTAGGTATATATGTATGTATATATGTATGTATGTATGTATGTATGTATGTATGTATGCATGTATGTATGTATGTCTGACTGTATGTATGCATGTATGTATGCATGCATGTGTGCATGAATGGATGTGTGTATGTATGCAATTACGTGTGTGTCTGTCTGTATGGGAATGTGGGTGTGTTTGTGTGTACGTGTGCATGTATATATGTATGCATCCATGCATGCATGTATGTGTATATGTCTGTGTACGAATGTATGTATGCGTGTGTATGTCTGTATGTGTATGTATGTGTATGTGTGTATGTGTATGTGTATGTGTATGTGTGTATGTGTTTGTGTATATGTATATGTTTGTCTGTCTGTCTGTATGTATGTGTGTATGTTTGTATGTATGTATATGGTCCCGGGTCGAGGCTTCATAGTCCCCCCACCCCAGATGGTAAGGGCCCCAGGGTTCCACAGCCCCCCTCCCTCAGATGGTATAGGGACACGATGGCGACGACGACGACGACGTCGACGTCGACGACAGACGACGTCGACGACGAGGACGACGCCGGCGACGACGACGACGACGTCTACGACGACGACGACGACGGCACCGCAACACCACCCCCCCCCCCCCCCACACACACACACACACACACATTCACACACACAGGGGGAGGGGCGGTCCTCACTGGCAACCCGCTCCCGCCTCAACCACGCCATGCCCAAAGGTCCACGACCACAGGGGAGATTTTCCGATTCGCGAGGCCTTCCATCCAGTGTGGGGCGGCGGGGGGCGATCACATTAGCATTGGATGGGGGGGGCCTGAGCCCTGGATCATACAGAAGTAATTATTTGTTTACGATATGGGGTCCCTGGAAATCCCGACCATGTTCCAAGGCATGTTTCACGGACTCGTATTCTGACGGTCTGGGGGCACGGACCGAGAGGCAGAAAACTGAGAAGCACTTCCACTTTGTGTCTTCAATACGTTGGAGGTATGGGTATTCGCCCGTAAGACACCAACGCTGGATTTGTGCAAACTCCTCAGCAAACACTGGGCCGCCCCATCCCGCACGACCGCGCGCATGCGCACGCGGGCCCGATAGTCGGGCTGGCCTCCTGAAGAACATGCTGGAGGAACGCCGGGCCAAAGAGCAGCGGGGGGGGTCTTTGAATGACCGACGCGGCTGTGGCAAGCTGGGGGTCGCTGGACCTCGTGCAGCACGACGACCTGGGCGGCATCGCGGATCGTCGACAGGCGGTGTGCTATCACCAGGATGGTGCAGCTGCCCTGCACCTCGCTCACGAGGGCGTCTAACGCCTGTTGAAGCTGAAAAGTCTGCGCTGCGAGATCCGAATATATCCTCATCGTCCTCGTCGCCTCCCTCTTCTGCCTCTTCCTTTTCCTTCTGCTGCTAACTCCCTCTCAGCATGGTCATGCTTGCATGTCGCCCCCTATTCGCACTACCCCTCCCAACATGGCACCACTGAACAATGTGCGCTTTGAACCTCAGCCTCGACCGTGATACCATATCATAGTCGCGTGGGGTGAATGTGTTCGAAGCCCCCTGGACGGCAATCCGATTCGTACGTGTGTGGTTACCAGGTGAGGTATTTGGCGTGTGGTTGGGAACAGAAGCGACATAAACAATTGATGATAAATCTGGATTCGGCTGGATTCGGGGCTTTAAATACTGCTGTGAAGCAGCCCCGCCAAAACGTGCGTTCCTGCCAGCACTCTCGGCGTAGGTGGCTAAATGAGTCCTCATTCGAAGAAAACCCTAACTCTTAACTCTATGAAGCGTCACCGTTGATCCGGCCCCGCGTATTTCGTATGAGCAACAAGAATGTGGGCCAGACGCGCACACTGCTCATCATCCATGCGAAACACAATGCGTGCCTCGCGCACGTTAAACGGGCAACCATCTCTGTCAAGTAACACCATCCGGGCCACACGCGCAAGCGAAACGGACATCTTCCCTGTCAAATGGCACAATGCGGGCCATGAGCGGGCGCCGATCCCTTTCAACACCATTACCCATATGAGCGAGCGAGTTCATAGACTTGCACTGTTTTTCGCAGATGCTGGAAAACGACATACGTGCGTGCGAATGTCGACGCACCCGCGCATGTGAGGATACAACAACAAAAAGAAATGAATATATACAGTACGTACGCTAAGGGCCACGGGCAGAGGATATGGCCGCCTTCAGCAACTATGCGACCATCTCCTTTTCCCCCTCACCTTACCCTTGGGACTGGACAGGGCGCGGGGGCGCAAAGTGTCAGAGGCTCCACTTTGACCATAGATGGCTCCAGGACTCGAGGATTGGCTCTAGGCAGCTCCAGGTGGCCTCCAACATGGCTCAATAATTTTGCTCCACGCTATTGAAGATGGACTGCAACATGTCTCCAAGAAGCCGCGAGATGGCTCTAATTGGCCGCTGGGTTTCCTAAGGACCTCCCAGGGATGCCCCAGTCCTTCAAATCATAAGGTGGTTCAGTGCGATTGTCCTTCGGACGTTTTCGCTACCGATGAGTTCTCGCGTAAGAGAGCCGCAACAGGAGCCCAGAATTGTGTCAAGACGACCCCAAAGAGCGCCTCAAGTCATCCGAACATGGTCCTAAGAGGCGATGCTCTCAACTCGGGGGAGGGCGCCGATACCTTTGTTTGGCTGATGTCATGTACACTTGCCATCGGAGCGCCGTCAAGGCTTCCTGCAGGCCCTTGTACAGCCCCAGAGGTTTCGAACCTCCCCCTAAGAGCAACCATCATTTCCAAGAGGCTGCCAGCTCGAAGATCCGCGAATGCCTTCACGTCTGACTCTTGAGTTTGCTCAGGCTGATCACGAGCTTCGCTTTGCAAGCTGCCCCTCCCCCCCCCGCCTGTCTGTGCCACCGCATGCAACTACACTTCTATGATAAAGTCAACCGTGGGGATAGCTTTTGAATGTAATCAACAATTAAGTCTCGAGCGTGACGTGCGTGCGAAGCTGTGCGCGAAGACGCTGGCCCTCAGCGCTGGTAGAGCACACTTGTTCTGTTCATGCTCCTCCTGCTGTCGGCAGATTGCAGGGCGGAGTGTTCCGGTTGAGTGTCCTGATTGATTTGCCGTGGTGCCCCGATTGCGACTGCTGTGCAACTGTCCCCCGATTGATCTGCGGCTGTGTCCTGGTTGCTCTGCTGGTGTGTCCTGATCTTGAGCCCAATCGGTTCGACATCGTACCCCAATTGATTAGTGATCGTTTACAAAAAGGGTTTGCAATTCATTTGCAATGGTTCCCCGATAGATGTGCGATGGTGTCCAAATCCCACCAGACCTCTGGGCGTCGGTGGTTTAGGACGTTCCCTCTTCCACCCCTCTTTCTTCTCCTTCGGGGAGAGCTACCCCTCCCCCTACCCCCTCCCCGTGGACCTGGAGGGGGGTGCCGCGAGGTGTCAGGGCGTCCAAAACGGCCTCGGCGAGGAAGCCAAAATCATTGATTTTACTACGGTGTTGGCCCCATTTTGGCCTCCTGGGGGGGGACCTTAATTGAGGGACCCCCCTTCGTTGACCGATCTCCTCCAAGATGGCCCCAAGAAGCGCCCAGGGGGCCACAAGAGGTCCCAAGATGGCCCCAAGATGGCCCCACGAGGCCCGCAAGAGGCCCCCAGGAGGCCCCCAAGAAGACCCTAAGCGGCCCCAAGAGGCCCCCCCCCGAGGCACCCAAGACCCCGAAGAGCCCCCCAGGATCGCCAAGAGACCCCCAAGACGTCCAAAGAGGCCACCAAGAATCGCCCAAGAGATACCCCAAGAGGCTCCGAGAGGCATCCAAGAGACCTCTGGCCCTTGTGCTTGCCCTCCCTCCTCCTCCTCCTCCTCCTCCTCCTCCTTCCTGCTCCTACTCCTTCTCTTCCTCCTCCTCCTCCTCCTCCTCCTCCGCCTCCTCCTCATCCTATTCATCATCCTTCTTCCCACTCCCTCATCCATCCATCCATCCACCTCCTCCTTCTCCTCCTCACTCCTTTGCACGGTTCGGCCGTCCTCCTCTTTGCTGCCGCACTTCCCTGATCACCTCAACTCGCCTGGACATCGTTTCTGGATGGGCTGGTGGGGATACTTTTTGGTCGCGGCCGCAGGCGAAAGCGCAAGCGGCGAGTCGTAAGTCCGGGGCGCGGGTCTACTAATTGACAAGGCTGGTGGGGATACTTTTTTCGGTCGCGTCCACCAGCGAAGGCGCAGGCGGAATCAGAAGCGCTCCGGGACACGGTAGCGGCCTAATTAGCTACTAAACGAGCCGCAGGCCGGCCGGCCCACTCACCAAGCAGCGGCAGGCTGCGCGGGAGAGCTGGCAAGCTGGGGGCGTCCAGGGAAGCTCAGGCACTTGCAGCCCAGCAAAAAGCTGGCGAATTAGGGGTGTGCTGTGGGGCAAGGCCCGCTCGAAGCACGAGGACGAGTGCGGCGATGACTGCGTGTCCAACATGCCCGTCGGGCGTCCAGGGGTAGTAAGCGATGGGCGAGTCGCCAGTGGGGCGCCAAGCCCAGGTCGCGCCAACGGCGTCTGCGAGCCAGGTGAGCTGCGCTGCCGAGGAACGTCGCAAACAAGCCTGAAAGGTGGGAGGGGCCCGGGGGAGCGGCCGCGGCTGCGAAGGCTGAACCACTCGAAGGCGGCACTAACTCCAAGGTCCACCATCCCGTGCACCACGGGGAAGGCCGGGAAGGCCCCGAGACTCCAGGGGGCCGACCCTTCCATCAGCTGCGCGAAGGTCGCCGACTGATGCACTGCGTGAGAGAGGCCAGGCCGGCGGGGATGAACATCGCCAGCGAGGCAGGGGAATCCAGGGTAGAGCTGCACGACCGCCGCCCGCATGAAATACGGAAGGGCGGCCACCGTCGAGGCACTGCCTTACCCGTCGTATCTGCCATTCCCCGCGGGGATCCAGGGTCGCAGCTAACCGCCGCTATGAGTGAGGTAAGGTTACCGCCATCAGCGCGGGGTCCTGGTCAGCCCTGGGGTGGGGGGACGATCACCCCCGCGACCCAGGGGTCTGCGAGCCTGGCAGCTGCCCAGCCCGGGAGAGACCCGAGGGGAGGGGCGGTGGGGACAGACATCACCGGCCCTCCACGCGGAGGGGCTCCCCAAGGACACCTGGCGAGCGAGGGGGACATAGAGAACGTCCACCTCGCGATCCAGGGGCAAGTGAACCCGGCAGCAGCCCAGCTCAGGAGGGACCCGAGGAGAGGGGCGGTGGGGACAGACATCACCGACCCTCCACACGGATCCCAGGGGGACCTGGCGAGGGGGCAAGGGCGCCGAAGCCAGGGCCCGAGCTCCAGGGATGCAGCTAACGGCTGCTCAGGGTCCGCTTTCACTCGTCCAGGGTGGCCTTCGGCCTCTTCCGCTTCGATGTCCAAGGGAAGGCCGGGGTGACGGCCGGCTGCCGACTGAGGTGCTGTCGGCATCTGTCCCCTGGAGTGCGACAGCAGTCCGTGTGAGAGACAAATGGGCATGACGGCCACCCGCATGAAATACGGAAGGGCGGACACCGTCGGGGCACTGTCTTACTCGTCATATCTGCCATTCCCCGCGGGGATCCAGGGTCGCAGCTAACCGCCGCTATGAGTGAGGTAATTACCGGCGTCAGCGCGGGGTCCTGGTCAGCCCTGACGATCACCCCCGCGATCCAGGGGTCTGCGAGCCCGGCAGCCTGCCCAGCCCGGGAGAGACCCAAGGGGAGGGGCGGTGGGGACAGACATCACCGGCCCTCCACGCGGAGGGGCTCCCCAGGGACACCCGGCGAGTGAGGGGGACATAGAGAACGACCACATCGCGACCCAGGGGCATGTGAACCCGGCAGCCTGCCCAGCCCAGGAGGGACCCGAGGAGAGGGGCGGTGGGGACAGACATCACCGACCCTCCACCCGGAGAGGCTCCCAGGGGGACCTGGCGAGGGGGCAGGGCGCCGAAGCCAGGGCCCGAACTCCAGGGATGCAACTAACGGCTGCTCAAGGACCGCTTTCACTCGTCCAGGGTGGCCTTCGGCCTCTTCCGCTTCGATGTCCAAGGGAAGGCCAGGGTGACGGCCGGCTGCCGTCTGAGGTGCTGTCGGCATCTGTCCCTGGTAGTACGACAGCAGTCCGTATGAGAGATAGATGGGCGGTCCTCGTCAGGGCTATGTCTCGTGCCCGTAGTCTCTGCTACTCCCCGCATGGATCCAGGGTCGCGGCTAACCGCCGCTCTGAGTTGAGTGAAGGCGGAGCGTCCATGGAGGGAGCGATCAAGGGGCAGAGCACCCCCAGGGTAGACGCAGCCTGGTATGGATCTGTTGTCCAGGGGGGCCGTG